AGTATAATTCTGGGGAATTCTAGATCAGTCTGGCACATGACAAACAGGCAGCAACATCGGCCACAATCGCAAGGTCAGTCGCAGCGCCTTCTTGCTTCCAACGTCGATGGACAATTTTATAAATCAAATCCTCCGCACCCTCACTGCAATTCCCCCAGACGCAGCGATATCTGGAGCAGATATGCCGCCCATTGCACACGATGAGCCCATGGACACCGGCACCGACGCCGACCGCCACGACGACGCAGATAGCATGCCTGAGCTGCAGTCCGTGTCTGACTCGGATGATGGAATTGATTCTGATTCGGACGAAGACGAGGATGAAGACGAGGAGGCGGAGGTGATGATGCAGACTGTTGACCCCTGGCTTGTCAACGACAACAACGACGATGAGAATGTCCCTGCTCTCGAGCCCATATCGCGGACGAACCGCCGACCGCGTGTGGAGGACGACGAGGACGAGGAGCGGGACCGCAGGCACCCTTCTGAGCGCATTAACAACCGTCTTGACGTAACCAACCCCGCTGCAGCTCAAGATCAGAATCAGGATCCGCCTTTAAGCTTCAGCGGACCAATGAATGGAATTGCGATTCCTATATTCCCGAGAATTCCTACCACTGCGCCTTCAGGACAAGGGCAGGGACAGGATAATAATCAGAACCAGGCTAATAATCAGAATCAGCCTAATCAACCCCAATCCCTCATCAACGGCTTTACAGTCACATTCGACATGAACGGTCAGCGCGTCGTGCGCCCCCTGCCCACCGGGCTCACCTTCAATCCCGTCAACGGCAACGGCAACGGCACGCCAGGCGCAGGCTTCGCCGATTTTCTTGGGTTCCTCAGCTTGCTTGCCGCAGAGCGCGAGACGGACGACCCCGAGCGCGCGCGGCGGCTCGTCGATGCACTCGAGGAGGTGCCGGTGGGGCTTGTACGGCGGCTCGAGGCGCTCAGTGGGAAGAGCGGGAGCGGGGATAGTGAGGGCATGGGCGCGGGCGATTGTGCGTGCGCGATTTGTTGGGATACGTTGTTGGATGGGGAGGGCGGGTTTGGGGGCGATGGTGATGGTGATGGTGACGGGCGCACGGAGGAACAACCGTCTGCTGAGACTTCGACATCGACTTCATCCTCAACGCCTACTGCGTCTACTACGCCTACAACACCCACTCAAGACCCCATCCAAGATCCGCCACCCGCACCCCCACAAAAACTCGTCTCATCCTCTGACCCCACACAGCCCAAAATCGTCTCTCTACCTTGCGCACACGTATTCCACGCCGCATGTCTTGTTCCGTGGTTTACGCGCCCGAGACAGACGACGTGCCCGACGTGCAGGTTCAATATCGATCCGGAGAGGCTGACGGCGAGGGGGGCGAGGCAGGGTACGTGGGGGCCGAGGGCGGGGGCGGGGAGGAGGAGAAGGGGGAGGGGGCAGCAAGGGGGAGAGCAGGAACAGGGAGAGCAGGAACAGGAGCATGAGCAGCAAGGGAATCTGGAGGCTGTAGATGAGCCGATGGGGCTCGATGGTGAAGGTTGGTCGTTTCATTCTTTTCATTTTTTTTGTGCTCGTTCTGATTATACATGCGTGTAGGCACAAATACCACCAACTCTGGCACCACCACTGACGCCAACGCGGCTCCCAACCCTGCCCAAGCCCAACCACAGCCTCAACCTCAACCTCAAACCGCCAACGCCGCTGCTGGACAGCGTCATCCACCTCACGGTACGGTCCTCACGATCGGGTTCGATATCGTCATCGGTCCTAATCCTAACATGGGTAACAACGCCAACGCTGTAAACCCTGCCAATGCTCAGAATACAAACACCAACGCGAACGCCAACCCTGCCCTGGATGTAAACGCGAATCCCGGTGCGGGTGCGGGTGATAACGCAGGTTCGGAAAATCCAGCCCAGAACCCGGACCCGAACCCGAATGTGAACTCGGCGTTTAGTATGGGACCGGTACCGATGAATGTGGACTTTGGAACGGCGATGGGGGGGATTGGTATGGCGATGGGGGGTCTGGGTATGAATATGGGGGGTATGAACATGGGCGGGATAGGAATGCCCATGGACGAAGACGAGATCGAAGAAGTGGCGATGATGGATTTGGACGAGGCGCAGGCGAGAGAGCTGGACGAGTTTTTGAGGGGGGCGTTGCCTCATCATGATGGCCATGCCCATCCTCATCCTCCCAACGCACCCAATGCTCCGAATGCTCTGGTTCCGACTGGACAGAATACACAGAACGTCGCTGCTCAAGACCACCAGGACCGGGACCGGGACCAGCCGCAGCCGCAGCAGCAAGGACAGCAGGAACAAGGACAGCATCAAGGACAACAACAACAACAAAGGCTCCAGCCCGTGCCTATGACGGGGATGTTCACGGGCACAGGGACGGGCCGGACGATGAACGAGGCGCTCGCGGCGTTGTTTAGTCAACCACTTTTGCCTGCTTTCGCACAAGGACAGGGACAGGGACAGGGACAGGGACAGGGGCAGGGGCAGGGGCAGGGGCAGAATGTGGGAGCGCAGGCCCAGGGTGGAGGTGCTCAGCCTCAGGTCGGGCAGGAGGCGGGAGGAGAGCAAGCGGAGGGGCAGCAGCCAGGGCAGAATGCGGGCCAGCAACAAGGGCAACAAAGACAAAACTCAAATGCTGCGTTTGAGAACTTCTTGTCTGAGTTGGTTACGTCGATGATCCAGCAGGCGCGGGCTCGGCTGGACGATGCACTTCGGTCTCAGCCTCAGGCCGCGCGGGATCACGATCAGCCTCACCCCCAGCAGGAGGATCAAGGAGAGGGGCAAGAGCAACTCCAAACACAAAATCAGCAGGAGGATCAAGGAGAGGGGCAAGAGCAACCCCAAACACAAACCCAGCAGGAGGATCAAGGCCACCCCCAGCCCCAGCCGCCCCAGCCACAAGACGCAACCGCAAACGCGAACGCACTCCCTCCAAGTGCAGTCCCAGGCTTCGTCGTCGCGCCTCTGCCGCTCCCGTTGCCTTTACAGGCCGCTGGGACGATCGATGGGACGCCGGTGTTTGACCTTGGGAATTTGTTTGCGGGATTGGGGGGTGTCTTTGGGTCTGGGGCTATGAACGCGAACAATGCGAACGCTAGCACCACGAATAATGGGAGCGACGGGAACGACGGAACGAACGCTAATGATGGAGCAGATAGTGATAATGGAGGGAACGCGCATGCGAACGACGGAGAGAACGCGGATGTGCCCAGTACGAATCAGCCTACCGCTAACGCTAACGCGCCCGGGCCGGCCATGAACATCCCTTTTATACCGTTCACTACGCTTTTCCCTGGTGCAACTCTTACGCCTCCCCCGGTTCCCGTTCCTGGTACGACGCTTGGTGGCTTTGTGCCCGCACAATCACAGGTCCAGCAACCTGTGCAACCAGATCAACAACAAGCGCAGCCAGAGCAACTCGCAGAGCCCCAGCAGCAAGCGCAAGTACAGGCACAGGCTGACAATTTCGATCCGCTCGACGCGTTTATGCGTATTTTCGGGCCTGAGGTTGGTATTTTCGCTTTCTACAGTTTAAATCAACGCTTTTACTAATAATGCTCCCCAATGGCAGCAGCAGCAGCAGCCTCAACAGCAGGCTGACGGTCGACGACTACCGCCCTGGGCACGTCTCTTCCAACCACACCCTCTTAATCCGTTCAACCCTGGTCCTGCCCCCGCTGGCGCCGCTCAGCCGCAAGGACAACCTCAAGGACAACCTCAGCCGCAAGCGCAAGCACAACAACCTCGACCCGAAGCCCAGGCACCCCCTATGCTTCCATTTTCTGCTTTCGCCCGTCTCCCCTCGCAGCCCCTCCCGCCCCGTGCACCAAGGGAGAAACAAGCTTGGACGCTTCCTCCCCCGCCTGGGCCGACTTTGCGCCAGCGGATCGAGAAGAGGGAGCGGGAGGCGGGGCTGAGGTGCTTTGATGTGAGCTGTGGAGTTGGGCCGAGCGATGAGGAGCCGTTTGGGGGCGTTGGGCTGGGTGAGGGGGCGAGGAAGCAGATGAGCATTAGGGGGAAGGAGGGAGAGGCGGTGTGTGAGCATACGTTCCATCCTGCGTGTCTCGTGAGTGCGGCGAGGGTTGCGAATGCGCTGGGGGAGGATCATGATGTGAGTGTTGGGGATGAGGATGGGGATTTGGTGGAGGTTACTTGTTCGGTTTGTAGATGTGTTGGGAGTGTTAGGAGGGAGGATTGGGATGAGGGTGTTAGGGCACTTGCTTGATTGTGATTGAAGATTGCTGCCGACCGACCACCGACCTTATTTATTTTCCGATTACCACCCCGCTCAAGCAATTCATCTTATCCACAAACACCAAACATCCATCATCTATCGTCATTGGCGAACTCGTTACCCTTCATTGCTTGATACCATTCATCTACTACTATCATCCACAGCCCATCCCTGGTTTTGTCTCTATTTATCTACAAGCACTTTCCTCTTTGTTATTCGCATCGCAAACTCCCCCCAATTCAAAATCATCTCATCCTCACGATACCGCACACCAAATCCATTTTCGTGTTCACATATCGATATCGATTGTATTTTGTGCTGTGAGTTCACTTCCTATGCCTGCTATCTAAGCTAATCACGCTCGAATTTTTCCTGTAGATCTCGGACTTTCAGCTCAGC